TGGCTCTCCGCTCGGGGCGGCTCGACGTTGGCCTTCCTTGAATCGAAGGTCGTCCCATGATCGGAGTGTCCTTTGATCGTTTGTCTATTCTTCGGCTTCTCCGATGAGTTGCTTGTATTTCTTTTCAAAATCATATATATTTTTATATGTGTCACAACTTTCATTTTTATTTTCAATGTAGCATTTATGTTTATCTTTCGATATTTCACTATTTCATATCTATCCTTTTTTTTTTTTTTTTTGAATTCAATTTGGAGTTAAATGTGCTATATATGCTTATCAAAGTTATTTATAATGATATTGTAAAAGTTAATGGATGAGGGGAGGTTGGAAGAGTCTAGATGTTTAGAAACGGTTTCTTCCTCATTCATGCTTTTCTCATCTTTTCCTAATTATGTTGCTCATAATAGTAAATTAAGAAATCTTACAATATTTAGTTGATTTTGGGTACAACTATGAACTTATTTCTATTTAGGTTTTCATCAAATTAGACATATGGATCTTTTGAAGTTAAGGTTTAAATTAATAGACTGATTTACAAAGATTTGGTGATATTCAATGAGTTCATATTTTCATTTTTTAATTAGTCTCATGAGAATATATGCTTCAGTAATTGAAATGTTTGAGATTGTTAAAAAAGAATTTGTACATGTTCAACAGTCGGTTAAAGCACGTGTTAGATTGATATAATGGAATCTTTTGATTTTATTTTTACAATCCATTTGATGATTGATATCTTGGAGATTACACATGAATTATCACAGTCATTATAAAGGAAAGATCAAGACATAGAAAATGCAATTAAATTGGTGAAAATATCCAAACAACGACTACGATTCTAAGGGAAAATAGATGGACTGCTTTACTAGAGGAAGCACCACGTTTTTATAATATTTTCAAAATTGAAGTTTCAAATATGAATAATACATACAAAACTTGTCGTCGATCAATACGAAGAGGTGAAGAAATATCAAACATATGTCATTATCATGTTTAGTTATTCTATACTATGGTTGACATGCAACTTCAAGAGCTATATAATCATTTTTTTGAATCTACTGTTGAATTGCTTCTTTGTATAGCATACTTAAATTCAACTGATTTATTTAATGTTTATGATAAGAGGAAATTGATACGTCTAGCATAATTATATCTAATTGATTTTTCTACTGTGACCTTATGGCTCTTAAAATTTAATTGTCAACTTATAACACTAATATGTGTACCAAAGACTAGCTATCATCTCTAAACTGTATTGCTGATCTTGCAAAGCAAATTATTGAGGTTAAAAAGGATCGTGTGAATCCTCTGATTTATATACTTATTAAGTTAGCATTAATTTTATCAATTAATATTGCTATAGTGAAAAGAGCATTTAATACAATGAAAATTATCAAATATCGATTGTGTAGTAGCTAGGATGAGTGATGATTAGTTCAATGATTGTCTGATACCTTGTACTGAAAAAATGTGTTCAATTTGATTTCAAATGAGATTGTAATGTAATATTATCAAAAAATACAAAATAGATTAATAAGCTTGTAACAATTTTCAAATTACTATTATAATGTAATACAGAATTTTACTTTGAATTATGTCTTCATTTTATTATTATTTTTTAATTTTGTTCATTTATATTAAAATTTTTATACTAAAAATTTATTTTAAGAAATAGTTAAAAAAACCATCCGAAACGAAGCCTAACTCTACATTAAATCTTCCTCAAGCTAACATAATCTATGATATATAATAAAAACATTAGGATAATAGCACCAATATACGCTGAAGTCTCTGAAGAAAGAAGAAATAATTATATAAATAGGCTATTTTATCAAACCATTCATTTAATAACAATATTTTATAAATTAGTTCCTAATTAGTTCCTAATTACCATTACTTAACCAATGACTATTAGCCATCCCACGTCTAATAAACTAATTAACAAATTATCAGTATTTCTTCGGGAAAGATCTATTCTAATTTTAGCTAACTAAAAACGTGACGCACATTGAAGGCGTTCAATTACCGCCCGGTGAGGTTACCTCTTTTCCTCTTTGCCACAAATTGAATTCAAAGGAGAATTTACCTGGAAGCAGGCTTCTAAATTTATTTTTTATTCTTTTTTTTTCTCTTTTTTCTCGGGCATAATTTTTCTTAAACGTCTAAATAATCTGTTAAAAAAATTGCTTTAATTATTTCAGAACTTTTTATTGCTATTGAAATAAATTAATGATTCAATCACGTAAATAATTAAAATCCCCCCCCCCAAAAAAAAAAAAGAAAAAAATGGCAAAATTTCCATAAAAATTTTACAAAAATTAAAATACTTAAATCGCTTCATCATATAAATAAAATAAATAATAATCCATCATTGCCAAAATTCAACCGTATAGAAATTGTAAAAAACCCTAAAAATAAAATAAAAACAAAGTCAAAATTTTCTTCTCAAATAAGCGCTGAGATTTTCATCAGCTGCGTTCAGACAACAGCAGAAAGAATAATCTCCGTCGGCGACGATTCAAAGGAGACTTTTTTACTGCGGCAGCCTATGGCCGGAACACGCACGCCGGCAGATTCGGCGGCGGAGACTCCGGCGGTGGTTTCGGCGATGTCTCCTTCGTTGGCGCTGGACGAGGCAGGGGGGTGGTAGTACAGGCGAGCCGTGTGAGGGCAGTGGGAATGGAAGCGAGCCGCTATTCTCACCCCCATATCGATAAGCTCCACGTACTTTGCCATCGCGGCGGAAGAGAGATTAGAGAGAGAGAGAGGGGGGGTGAGGGTGAAGAGATAGAGAGAGAAAGAAGGTGACCCGCGATGGGGAGAGAGAAGGGAAAGAGAAGGGAGAGAGGTTTTATAATTACACGCTCCTCCGCGTTCTCTTTAAGCGAGGTATTTTGTTTGGACGCCGGAGAGATTTTTGTCCGAAGAGATTCTAGCCGTTGGATATTGGTAAGTCCATTGAGGTTTGTGCTAATAAATTTAATTGACAGTGGTGATCTTTTTGGAGGCGTAATTCGTTAGATGAGAGAACAATTATATGTTGTTTTTGAGAAAAATACGGAGGCAATGGCAGCCGTAGAAAGATCGGCTGGCAGAGAAACGAACCAGCGGAGCAAAATAAAAAAGATATTTTATCAGATTTTTTTTTAAAGGAGAAATAAGGAATTAGAGCTTTTATATTGCTATAATGTTTACTTATAAATATTATAAATAGGCAAATGGCAATATTAAAATACAACTCAATCTTATACATTTAAAAATTGCTGAAAATGAAATTAGATGCCTAAAATTAAAGAGAAAGAAATAATTGATGCATAAAAATTTTGGATTCAGAAAGCACAAAAAATGACCACACATAATAACAAAAAAATCTTAAACATGTCGAAAATATTAGAACTACCCTGATTGCCAAAACATATTGAATTGATCATCAAAATGATGATACAACCCAATGTGTAAGGGGATGCAAATCTCATTATGTTTATAATAATTCAAAATCATTAAAATAAATTTATTTTTAAATTATGAAAATGTGAATCCAGCAGAGAGCATCACAACACTGGTTGATAAGAAACATGTCGAAAATATTAGAACTACCCTGATTGCCAAAACATATTGAATTGATCATCAAAATGATGATACAACCCAATGTGTAAGGGGATGCAAATCTCATTATGTTTATAATAATTCAAAATCATTAAAATAAATTTATTTTTAAATTATGAAAATGTGGATCCAGCAGAGAGCATTGCAACACTGGTTGATAAGCATAGTAGTGCTAGGGAACCGTTGTCGTGGTATTGAATGCTCTGTTCTACAATAACTTTGGGATTGACATGTAGCATAGAGACACTAGACATTTAGACACCATGGCACTAGGCGCTAAATCAACATTTAAATATAATCAATATGAATATCATTCAACACCAAAACTAAACCTGACTCATTCTATTTGTGTGTCAGGAAAGGAATAAAGGAGAGGAAGAATAGAAGAGAAAATGCTCTACAGGGCTTCTAAGTCTGTCGCTCGTGTTACTAAAATTATTTTTTATCGTTGTAAGTAACATACTCTACTATACTACATTCAATGATTTTGAGTTTGCATATTTCTCACTCTCGAAAGCAATAAAAATATGATATCTCCTATTATTCTTCATGTAACTTTTGATACACGACATATATCGTTATTCTGCACATTTTGATTGATTTATATGAAAATTTCACTGGATAGATTGGTAGTTATATTTTTTAAAGAAAGTAAGCAGTATACGGATTGTTATGCATTTCATAGATTATTGAATTTCATGCATGATATTGATGCATAGAGAAAATGATATTTTTGATATATGATAAATGTGATATATTTGCATGTACACAAGGAATGTTGACTGTCAACACTATTATTAACATATATTGACTTTTGAAATATAATACCACATATAGGAAGGTTAGCAAATGCGCTTTCTTTTAACTCAAGGTTTATGGTATAATCTTTAAAACTAGTCTATAACCAAGTGACCAACTATGTCGGCGGATAGAGAGTAACGACTTTTCATTTGCTAAACTCATATGAATATGCATGCATTTTATCATTTTATGATATGATAGATATGACAGATAATAGATATAACATATAACAAATTAAATAGATTGATTGATTGATTGACATGCAGCTTAACTAATAAAGTATTGATAGACAGGGACGGAACTAGCTTCAATTTGGAGGGGGGGGGGGCAAATACAACACAAAAATAATTAAATATTAAAAAAATATTATTATATATCTATATATTACGACAAGTTTTTAAAAAAAATCAAGCAAGAAAAATAAAGAAAAAAATGTAATTAAACAGTCATGAAAAACATGAAATAGAATATTAGAATTAAATGTGAAGAAATATATAGATATTTTAGGACAAGATAAGATAAAAGAGTTTTTTAGGGGGGGCAAAAAGTTTTTTTTACTCTCATATAATTTTTTTTACTCATATAAATTTTTTTTTTTAAGGGGGGGGGGGCCTAAGCTTGCAGTGGTTCCGCCCTTGTTGATAGAAACATATATCATAAGATTGCATATTAATTACATGATATACATGATGTTGTTCCTATAAAATGCTACAAGTTCTTACATATATGTGATTATTGTTTTTGTTTGATGCCTTGAATTCGGTTGTTGATATTGGATATTTGTTGGGCTATGTACGCATTATATAATTTTTATATATTTTCAGGCAATGGTAAAGATCCTGTATATTAAGGTTGAGGTGGGCTGCAGGCTTGAGTTTTCTTTATGCATATGTTGATAACTTTCTCCTTTTTTTTGTTGTTGTTGTTGTAGTTATGATGTATTTACAATGATGAGTTGTTGTTGGTCACATATAATGATTTTTTTTTATATTCATTTTGAGATATTGAATCAAGATGTAAATATTGATTGTGGAAAAGTAATTATATTTTTCGTTGTTTATATTTTTTAAATGAAAATGGCCAGCTCTAGCTGTCGATTGAAAAATATAGAGAGATGTATGGTTCTTCCAATTTAAATTCTAAGATGCTAAATTAACATTGTCCAATTGATATAGAAAAGCTGAAAAAAAGAAACATCGTAAAATCTTCATAGTTCTTCCAGCTTTGAAGCTTGCAAATGATAGCATTTTTAATCCTATTCACATATCTCACTCTCGAAAGTGTGATTTGTGAATAGGATTAAAGTCTCATTCTTCATTCCACATCAATGGAATGATGGAATGAAGAACAGTGATGCTAAAGCTCAATATTCTTTCATTTGTTTAAAAAAAATATTTAGTCAAAATAATAGTTCTTTTACATTTTATATGTCATATATATTCTTTATCATTCTTTATAACAATTAAATTATTAAATGATATAATTAAAGTATTAAACACATACAACAAAATTATTAGACACTCACATATTAATTTAAATAAAAAAAATATTAGAAATGACTAATAATTCAATTCAATAAATTAAGAATTTAGGTATATTTATCTTATAAAATTAATAAAATTTAATTATATTAAGTGATAAAATATGAAGTTTAAAATTAATTATATTTATCATAAATAAAAACATCTTGATATAAATTATATAATGATAGCTAAAAAAAAAATCCTTTATTTTTTATATTTTATCATATGTTATACATTGAAATGGTTATATTTTTCTTCCCATAAGTAATTAGGGTTGATATTTGCTTTTCGTTTTTATATTTTGGCTCTTATAACATTCATATCATTATATTTTTTTTTTCTAAATTTAATTATTATAAAAAAAATATCATTCACCAATCATTATTATTATTTCAACTAAGATTTATTTCGTGAAGCGCCTTCTTATTAAACATTTTTTTAATTTATATTTTAGATATAAAATTAAAAAATATGATTAAAAAAAAGACATCCCCAAAAAAAAAATCTTAGTTATATCATTCAAAATATTAATCAATTTTATTTATTTTGATTATATTTTTTAAATGTTTATAATTTCTTGCAAATAATGATAATATTTTACTAGTTCATGAAATTATTGATTTTTTGTTAAAATAATGTTGGTTGGTTTGATAGCGGAGTTAGTTTTAATCATTTTTTTAATTTTATATTTAAAAATATATCTTCAATATAATTGATGTTTTCATAATTAAATTAGAATTTCGTTAAGAAAATCATAAATCTTTAGGCGATTTAGATTTATGTGATTCAATTTCTGAAATAAAAAATTTAAAAATAATATTTAATAACATTTAAAAAAAACTTAAAAAATTTATACCAATTGATGCCAGGTAGGTTCTTTTTTACACATATATGAAAATACTCCAACAAAATTAAAATAATTAATTGCAAATATAACATTGAAATATTTTATCACGTGTGAAAAGGTTGGAATAGCACCTGTTGTTGTTGTGTAAAAAGGCTATTTGACAAAAAATTAATAAGAGAAATAGCATGCATAACATTCAAATTAAATAAATTTATAAAATTAACACTCATTTCTTTTCTTTTTTTAACTTCCAAAATCATATATTTGCACATGCCATGATCAAAATATCAAGAATAAAAAAATGAAAAATACGAATTAATGTTTCATCTGAGACAGTTTTCTTATTGATTTCTAAAACAATTTTCTAGTTTAAAAAATTTCTAGTTCAGGAAATTTTTATACTAGAAAGCTGCTTTTAAAAATAATGAAAAAACCATCACAAATGAAGCTTAAGAAGGCTTAAATCCGAACGATCTTTCTAACCCATATATTATAGGGTTTCTTGGTGTATATATCATAAGATTTGGTTAATGGGACAATCTAATTAACATAAGTTAAATAAGTTTAACCTAAAACAAACCAAATTTTTTATATTTAGATCAAAAAAGTAGATTCGAATTCGACCCATAAGATTTGAGCCAACTTGAGCTTTGTTTGAGACAGTTTTCTTTCTGTTTTCTATAATAGCTTTTTAATACAAAAAATTCATGAAAGCAGTAGTAAAAACTGTCCCAAACGAAACCTTAAATCCAAATTTTTAGAGTTTGATTTATGATATATCATGAACATCTAAATTTTGGATTGCACCAACATACAAAATAATTAAATAATATTGTTATATAATAATTGGACCATGATTAAAGCATCGTTTAAGACGGCTTTTCAACTATTTCTTAAAGCAGCTTTCTTATTGCTTAAATTTTTGCACTAAAAAATTGGTTTAAGAAGCAATAAGAAAGTCATTTCAAATCAAGCCTGAAGTTCAATAATTTCAATTTAAATTCAACAATTTCAAGCAACTTATAATTACAATCAATCTTAAAGCTCCTTAGTAATTTTGAATAAAAAATTTGTATTATTTATTGTGAAAGACAAGCGAGGAGGAGAACCATCCTCCAATGTGGTGCTTGTTTATTTAAAACAAGGAATATATATTTATTGCATGTTAGAAAATTCATGACGATGGAAATTGAGTTTTAACGTCGCTGCTATCACGAAGACACAACGCACGCACACTGATAATAAAAAAAAATACAATGGACACCATAATTTTTACATGAAAAACTAAAAAAGCAAAAACATTACAAGCCTGACTTAGATGAAATGATTCACATTATAAATAAGTTATAAGAGTGTTCTTCCCTTTAATGAGAAAGATGTGATTAGAAAGTATGTATTGTACTTTTGTCAATGAGGGAGAATGCTAGAAATGTAGTAGTTAGATGTGTTATTCGGGTGACATTACTCAGACAATAATGATTGAGTGATGATAGTCGGACAATGACATTGATTAGATGATGTTGTATGGATTATGAAGATTGCATAATAACAATCTAGAATCCACGTCTAATTACGGTGACTGATAGTGTTGGTCGTCATCAAACGTCAAGCAGAGCTCTAAAGTTCTTTAGATCTCCAATCTATCTCCAAATTCAAATCTTAGTCCCCTTCATGTGGAGAAAGAGAGCCTATTTATAATACTTTTGTAGTGAATATTTTAATAAATTCAGCTAAAATTCAACAACACTCCATAGGAGAGCTCATATCAATTCTTTTGATCATAAGTTATTAATTCAACATAAAGTGATTTTTTTTTTTGACATAAAGTGATTTAATATTCTCAGAATCAAGTGACATTGGGCATGTTAGATTTACTTCATCGAGCCACTTTTTTTATTATAAGTATGTAAAATTCGAAGACAATTAGATCCTTCAATTAATGTCTCAAAATTTCTAGCAATTCTTTAATTGCTTGATTTGAGCTTATTTGAACTTGGATTAGATCACCAATAGTGTTCTTAGATTTGTTTCATCAAAATGCTCAACAAAACTATAAGTTTGTTGAAATTGGTATGCAGATGATTATGAATTTAATTATAAAAACTTTCAAATATTGCATCAAAATTCACGCTAATCAAAATGAATTCACTTAAGGTACATCACTATTAATTTATATACACATTTTTTAATTTTTATTTTTTGAATGATTCTTCTTTTATCAAGATAATATGAAGATGAACACAAACCAAACATTTCTTTTTTCTCCATCAATAATTTTTTTTAAATAAAGTGGGACACTACTCACAAACTCAATTTTGTCATCTCATTCATCTTTTGATGTCAAAGCTTTTATTTGTGTTTATAGGGTTTAGGGGACTACTAACCAAAGAATGTCATTAATAGGGTAGTTTCTTTGGATCTTAGTAGCACTCTTAGTATGAATATGCATTATCAATTTATTGTTAGTGGAAGGGATAAATTTATTGGATTCTATGTTATTACTTATTAGTAGAATCACATCATGACCTTGTTATAAATTTAGGTCAAGAGTTTAAGGAGATTAGAGTGAAATTAATTCATTAATGATAATCAAATTAACTAAATTTATTTTCCATTATTTGAGATTCAAGTAACATGCAACTGCTTAGCAAGATAGAAACTCTATGGTCCTAACTTCTAAGAAATAATTGTTCTTAATTTAACTAAGGCTTCGTTTGAGACAACTTTCTTAATGTTTTGTTTTTCAGATCGAAATTATAATTTATGTTTGGTCACTGCTTTGTTGCTGCTTTCAAAATAAATTTATAATAGAAAGCTACTTTTTATAATAGCTTTAAAAAATTGCTCTTTACAACCGCTTTACACAACAGTAATAAAGTTATCCCAACAGAAGCCTAAACCATTGCTAAGAGCTTGCAAGTTCACTGAACAACGGTTTGTTGCATAAAACAGGTAAAAGAAAGGAGCATAAACATAGTGTTCTTCCATACAATATGCCTTTTTGTGTGACCTCTTTATTCCTCTTAATTCTGTTAAAATATTCAAAAGTTTTTAAATTCTGTTCAGAAATTGGCTCAACATCACATCAATTTCAAATTTGAGTCCAAATCAATGAAAACTAGAGCCAGTTTAGATTTCAAGTTGAGTACAAATCAAACAAAAACAAAAGTTTTTCAATTTTGGGTCGAGCCAAACCAGCTCAAATATTAAGTAAAAAAAAAACTATGTCATCATCACTAATTCCTCCAATCCAAACTTTAGAAGCTATAATTCAAAGAAGAGGTAGTTTTTACCTCAAGGGAACAATATACAGCTTGAGGTTTCGTTTGGGACGGCTTTCTCAATGTTTTTTAGAGCAACTTTTTAGTACAAATATTAAAATTTTTATACTAAAAAGTTGCTTTAAGAAGCAGTAATAAAACCATCCCAAACAAAATCTAAATCTTACAATTAGGCTTAATTAACTACTTAAAACTGAGAAGCCACCCATTTCAACCTATAGCTTTTATGTAATTTAGAATCATAACACCAATAAGCAAATAAAATAAAGTATAAACATACTATGAATGAGTTCATTTATTAATAACGCAATCATATGTAAAAATTAAAATCTTAAAATCATTCAATATGGCATTACTAATTGAAAATATTGCTTAGAATTCAAAGGTAGATAAGTACTTAGTATATGCCAAAGACAAACCAGGCGAGCATCAATTCTTATTTGAATGCAGCTCGATCTTCTTCGGCAGATCGTCTTTGTTGGCACCCACAATCTTGTCAATGATCGTCCCGTCTTTCAGAAATATGAAGGTTGGCATGGCCTCAATCGCCCAGTCTTGTGCGACAGACTAATAGTTGCAAAAGCAGTGTTAGAGGAAGATAAATAGAATAAAAGTATAAAATAATGGCTTGGCATATTCTTAATATATCTTGAAGACCCATCTGATCAAAATTTAATAGTATATCTTGACCCTTAGAGATAGGATACGAAATGAGCATATACGTGAAAAGGTTGGAGTAGCTCAAGTGGAGGATAAGATTAGAGAGAGTCGCCTTAAATGGTTTGGTCACATAAAACGGCGGCCTTCCGATGACCCGGTTGGCAAAGTAGAGGTATTAGATTTGACTTATGTTAAGAAAGGTAGAAATGTCTCTAAAAATACTTGGTTATAAAATATTAGAAATGATATTTCTTTATTAGATTTAAACGAGAATTTGACTTTTAACAAGACACAATGAAGAAAAATGATCCATGTAGCCGACCCCACATATTCGAACAAAGGCTCAATGTTGTTGTTGTTGTATAGCTTGACCAAAAATTTTCCAAAAGAAAAGTGCATTATGTTATGAATGTGGACAGATAAGCAAAAGGCTTCTTACCTTCAGTTCATCAACATCAACCTTAAGGAAAAGAACATTTGGGAACTTCTTGGCCAGATCAGCAAAAATTGGAGCAATTGTGCGGCAGGGACCGCACCAGGTAGCAGTAAAATCAACAACGGCCTGTAATGAAATATAAGAATTATCAGAGGTAGCAATTCCAAGTAGGCCTTCTGTTCTGCAACGAAGCTTATGGGGTGGGGATATTGAATGAGGCCTTCTGTTCCAATTAGGCCTTCGGCAAAGAAGCAATTCCAAGTTTTTCTTTTTGTTTTATATGACCAATATATTTATATCTATTTTGTAAAGCCATCCATATATCTTAAAATTATCATTTACAACTTCTTTTACTAAGAACACTCAAATCCATATGACACAACCAGCCTACAAGTATTTTTATACAATCTATCTTTTAACTCAACAGTCAACAACACAACATTCTCTTATCCAATAATAACCTTGAGGCACTTTGCAATTTTAATCACAGACTTCAACTCTAGTAGTTATATCATCAAATGTCCCTTCTGTTGACCTAAAACTGCCGCCCATTCAACGGCTTAGACTAAGAACTCGTTTGATTAGGCTTTTTTTCTCCGTTTCCGTTTGAATACGCCGAAATCAATTAGTATTTACTGTTTGGAATCAAAGCTTAACAATAATTCCTTTTTAATAAACATCGTTTTTCCGGCGGTTACAAAATTCTTTTCGTATCTGCTTCTTCGGTCACAAAATATCTTTTATAATAAAATCTCAAAAGCATAACTCCTAAACAAACAATTTAAAATTACTTTCAAGTATTAATAATCACTTTTAAAAATATTAGTCAAACGTATCTCATTATTGAAACTCCATTTTATTGAACGGCTTTTTCTCAACCTCCTTTTTTTAAAACTCTCTGCCCCCCCCGCCGGCCGCCTCAAGCACCGACGCACCCGAAGCTTCCGTCGACTCCGTGCGTGCCTCCGATCTCCTGCTCTCGCGACTCCAAACCCACGGGCGAACAAACAGAAGCCATCGAACCCACCGTCGGCCTCCAATCTCCATACCTACCTTCGGCCTGATCATCGATCGACTCCATTTGCACCTTCCCCGGACAAGCCTTCCGCCGACCTGCCTCCGCCGACGATCTGCACGCCGATGCCGAAGCCTTCCCCTTGCGTGGCCTCTCCGACCTAGCCAAATCGGGCTTCTCCCGATCCTCTTTTCTCCCCATCTCTCTATTATATTATATATTATGAAATATATATAAGTATATAACATATATAATATTATGTTATATTGTATACTATATTATAATATTATAAATTTATAATACATAGTATGTTTTATTATAATATATATAATACATATTATGTTTTATTATAATATAATATTTATATTATATATCATATTATAAAAGAAAAGAAAGAGCGAGAGATTAAGAGAAAAGGGAATATTTTCAAATAGGTACAAAAGCAAATTGGCAATTTGAAGAAAGTCCCGGTGTTGATCTGGTCCCTTGAAGCCCTCGATCGTCGAGATTATCCGATCGAGGGAGCGCAGACACTACTCTCTCAAATCTCCTCGCCGTTGATATGCTCCGGCCGAGTCGAGCCACTCTCTTATCTCCCGGCATCGGAGAGGGGACGCCGGAAGGCTGCCGGATTTTTGAAGGGACCAAAAATATTTTTAAAATTAAATTTAATTGCTTAACTTAGCAGGTTGCGCACATCAAAGGATCTTTCGAAGACTATTAATGGGATTGATTCGCTCTCCCAAATCTTATCGCCGTCGATTTGATCCGGCCGAGTCGAGCCACTCTCTTACCTCCCGGCATCGGGGAGGGGACGCCGGGAGGCTGTCGAAATTTTCTCTAAAATTCAGGACTTAAGAAATTTTTGGACTTATACAGATTTTTGAGAAAAATGGAGAATATGCAATCAAACAAAAATAATTTAATTAGTAATGATTTAAATATATTATCTCATTAATTAATTTAAATTATTTAATCAGCAGATTGAGCATATTAGAAAATTCAAAGACTCATTTTGGGATCGATTCGCTCTCCCAAATCTCCTCGCCGTCGATTTGATTCGGCCGAGTCGAGCACTCCCTTACCTCCCGGCATCGGGGAGGGGACGCCGGGAGGTTGCCGAAATTTACTCAGAAATTCAAGACTTAGCCAAATTAAAATAAATGTGATGGATTTTGCTAATGATGTAGAAAATCTTATGTATTTTAGTAATGATGATCTATGTAAGATTTAAAAATGACTACATCACATACTATCCATGAGTGATAGCATCCAATAGCAATTAAGCAAAATTTAAAATTTATACTAAATAAGGTCAAACAATAGAACACTTTGACAATGAATTGTCATTTGATATCCTGCAATGAAGGACTCCTCTAGGTTCCTTTATGAGAGTTCTTTGGAAATTATTTGCTATGTGAAGATCAATATATATCAAGACTTAGCATCACTCAAGTTCTTTGTAGAAATGAACAAAATATACTACAATTCACTTATGAGAAGAATAAGGAATTCGTAGTGCCCACATCAACTAGCTTGCGAGCAAGAACAAAATACTTATATCAAATAAATCAATCAATTTATGGGAGAAAATAAGAGAACTTATAACAAACAAGATAATTCTCCTACGAATACTGGCACGATATCCTAATATTTATTGAATAATCATTCTCTGTAAACTATGTTGAATGGGATAATAACGACAGAAGGATATCTACTATGTGTTACAAATGAAACCTAATTTAGAGTACGCCACCGAATCCGCAACATGTGTACAAGCGGACAAAAGACGTTCATAGGCTCTTAAATGAAAATTCAGGCATTTTTCTAAATAAAATCACTTGGTAAAATGGGTCATATTTAAATATTTTAAAATGTCCCTTATATATTAAATATGATCTCTAAAAAAAAAATTAAATATACCCCTGCATGTGCTCTGACAGAACTATTAAAGTTACAAACTCAAATCGTCGAGAATGTTGCGTAGGGTCAAATACTATAACCCGCATGTGCTCTAGTCGTCACATCTAAGTCCCAAATCCGATGATTCGAAAATGCTGCGCGGGTCTAATATTCAAGTTTCATCGTCCTCCTCAAAAGGACTGGAGTCGACATGACTTGAAGTATAAAATGCCTCCCAAAATTCTTACAAAAATAAAAGTGACCTCAATATCACCCCGATTATGGCCGTGTTGATAGAAAATCTCAACCGGAGGGGTCAAACCAAACAAAAAAAAAAAAATCTAAATTCTTAAAATAAAATCAACCACCTAAAAACTCAAAACTAAAAATCATCCACCTCCCGCAATTGTTTGTCGGGGGTGATATATTTAAAATTAACCTCAGCTCACAAAGAGCGAATGTGTGACGGGTGTATCACTTTGATTCATCATCAAATAGTCTCTTGCCAACATGGACGTGGCACGTGCCCTCTGATCGGGTGGTTTTACCGTAAAATGGCACCATTATATTACGATCACAGCCAAAGCCCGTATGTTCCCTAAAGGCGTCAAACCCTTGAGCGATGAATCATAGGGTATATTCCTGATAGGCATAAAGCCCTCTATCAGCTAAGGTGGATTCAGATATATCCCCTTAGACAAACACCAACCTAGGTCTACAAGGTATTCTTGGACGAAGCAACCCATGGCTGCCGATAAGGTGCCTTCTGTCAGGTTGGGTCGACTACCTCCTCTGACTAAGTAGACCAGGGATCATGACAGCCCGGGACGACGGAACCATGGGATCTTGATCAGGCTCGTCTTCATTCCCCCCACCACCAGTTTTAAGTTTATGGTGATAAACTCTAAATTTCAAATTTCAAACTTCCAAATTTAAAATTTAAACTCTAAAATTATTGCTATTATACGATAGTTTTATAACCTATTTGACCCCTTTAACGACTAGCCTTAATCGAAAGTTCTTTCCTGTTATCAAGAGAGGTAATTAACTATAGGGGCTTGCGCCTATAGGAAACCAGAACTCAGATAAAAAAAAGTCCTCACAAAATGAGGGCGAAATCTCTGGGTAGTGTCTTATCTAAAACCCAATCTGCCTTCTGAAAATTCCCCCGGAACCTAATCTCGTTAAAACTCTCTGCCGTCATCATCTCATAAACACTTAAAAGAAAAATAAACCGATGGCGCGGAGAGGCCGGAGTCAAATCATAATCACATCAAAAAATGAAATTTTCAGAGCCACACCTTCTTTTGATATAATAAACCCAAGGTACTAAAACACGCTACATTGAGCTTCATTTTATCCTCTCGTAATATTGATTAATTGTTAGGATTGATTCAAGTTTTGACTAGTGTTATTCCGCAAGACATCACATCTATGTAAATATCTATATATAGATGCTATATGTTGATGTATGAGGCACCTTCTAGATGAAAAATTCAATCAATAAAGCTCTCTCTCTCTCCTATTCTTCAATCTCTTCCTTCCCCATCTCTCTCTCCTATTTTTCAAGAAGCTCAAGAAGCTTCTTCTTCCTACCAAGAATTGCATAACATTAATAATTAGTAATATATTGCAAATTAAAATTGCACATCATTTACATATTCTTAGTACTAATACCATTATCATTTTTATCTTTTAAACGTGTTCCTCATTATTCTCATTGACCACTTAGAAATCTTATTGAGTATAAACTATGCCATCTAAAAAAAGTATACACTGATATTACCTTGCAACCATGAACACGCACTTTAGAATTCTGTAAAATCCTTTGGTTAATGAGAGGCCAAATCACAAATAAAATTATTTTAACTTAAAAAGAAAGAAAAATACTGTTCGAAAGTTGCGAATTATTTCAAGAGAAAATTTTACCACAAAAAAAAAAAAACTAGTTATGAATAGGTATCTTAGATGCATAAATGAACAACTTAAAGAAAAATAGACTTAGAATATGATGATAGAATTTTGTTGAAAGTGAGGCTGCTATCCTTACAACATATATAGATTGTTAAGAGAGATAAACTATTTTAAATGCTAAAAATTAATCAAACATAATTTGACATAAAATGTCTAATAACATTAGGAAAATTGCTTTATAAATTTTAGGAGTGCCAAAAAAAGTTCAAACAATTCTTGATATGTATACTAAAGAACAGCATTAAGAGAAGTTGTTAATAACCAAAGCAATGCAAAATCATAGTGATTAAGGTTTCATTTGGGACGATTTTTTTATAGCTTTTTATAGCTATATTAACTGTGCTTTGATTGTACACAGAGAGAAAATGTACAGTTCTCTCCGTCCAGTGTCCGCACAGAATAATCTCTCGCTCTTATGGCACCCCAATCTTCACAAAATTATTTGTTTTAGATGATGACACAATGATCACAATATTCATTTTTAAAACTGACCTTATAGATGTTTAAATCTTTTAACTCTGCAGCAAACAAAAAAAAAACAAAAAAAGGATTTATGGCTGTAGAACAACATGACTTAAAGTAATTAATGCAAGGAAAAGAATTAAATCTATGCCTAAAGGGCTTGCAATTTTAGGGAAAAATATTCACATGGCTGCAAACGATATTCAAGTTTATTTAAATCCGATTATTATCCTAAAAGAGGGGAAAAAATTAAGAAGGCAAAAAACATTCGAAATAAACATCAGACAATAATCCACCGATATTGCAACTTGTAAGCAAACAAGCTAAAATCAATCAAAATGAAAATCAGAAGATCGAACCAACTACATAAATCCCGGCTCCCAGTGAATTTGTCTCTAAGATCAATAATTAAATTGATTTATAACTCAAATAGAGTTCCGATAAAAATCAACAAACAGACCAACGAATTAAGCTCAGCTTGGATCAAATTTAAATCGGGACAAAAATGAATTGGTTGATCGAGTTATGGATCTAAATCAAAAATATATGCTTATATGCCTGAATGAATATATAGATATTTAAACATGAATTTAAATTTAAAAAAAAAAGTGTATATATTCATTCTTGCATTTATATATATATGAATATATCTTTACTATGAATGTATTTAACTATGCTCGACTAATAATTTTACCCTAACTAATAGAAATCAGATCAATTTTTGGTTCCAAACACGTAGAACTCGGATTACAGTAAGACGAAACCGACAATAGAACTCTGGTTTAAGTAAAAAAGTCACCCGGCTTAGATCTAGATCGAATCGTTTCAAAATATTGTAAAACCTGGCTCCAAGATCAGATCGAAAAAGCTCTAATCCCAAGAAACAAAATATCCTCCGATTCAGAAAAGAAAAAAACAATCCGTTTTTTACCAGTTTTTTGGTTTCAATGGCGCTCTGCAGATGCTGGTTCCACTGCTCGACGCTGTGGCAGCTGATCACGGTTGCCTCCTCCGCCATCGCCGAAAGTAGCTTCTCTGAATCTCTGAAATAAGGCAGCTGAAGAAAACAAAAAGAGAAACCAAAAGCTTTGCACTCGAATCCTCTGCCTCGCATTTGCCTTTATAGGCGCAATTTCTGGACACTATTTATTTTATTCCGATTGGGGATATTGCAGTTTTGTTTGAAATAATTATAATTTCATCTATGATCTTTTTAAATATCATTAAATATTACTTACATATTTATTTATATTATTATTTATATAATTTTAGCTACAATAACATCAAATCTTTATCACGCTATATGAGATCGACTACATAAATATTTTTTCTCTATTATGTACCATTTAAATCGAATAAAAAATATTTATAATATTTTCTAATCAAATCTTTAAAGGGCTATATTTACCTTTCTGAACATGGAGCGAGTCAACTAGACCATCTGCAATCGAGAAACACATTTTCCACTCTAAAATACAGTAACACTTTAAAATGCACTAATTCATTTTCAACTGAACTCTATTTCTTAACACAAAAAAAGAATATTTCATATATATTCTTTCTCAACTGAGCTCCACACGCGCAATCCCTTCTCCACCTCAACTTTCTCTGTTTTCGCCAAAAATGCATTCGTGAATAGTGAAACCCAATATTGGAGTAGTTCACGGACGCCAAACACGTGTATGGAGTTTGATTGCAGATGGCCTTATATATACACATCAAAAGGTTGATGTTATGTCACTAAATCAACTAAGACGACTCTCTATCTAATTTTTCACTATAGCTGCTTCGACCTTTTCACGTACATACTCATTTTGCATTCGGTCTTTAAATGTGAAGCCATTTGTCCTCTTAATAATCCTCATACCTTCAACATTTAACTTAATTTTATGCTTCTATTTTATTGATCAACATTATGCGCCATAGGAGTTTAAAAAAAAAATTATGCGTCATAAAGCATTGCATGTATTTTAATAATATTTATATTTTTTGCAACTTTTTGGGAATTTGGAATATAATTCCAAGAATATATGACTTTTTATTTTATAGGCATAAGCATAATATAAAAAGAAGAAAAAGAGGCCGACTTGTAATCTTTTTACAGTTAGACCAACTTATCAGTTTTCACATATATCCAAAAAATTTGAGAATTTACATTCTAACACTTACAATTTTATTTTTTGCATATGAATTATCTATTTTTTATTTATTAGTTTTTGTTACACTCATCATACAAGAGGAAGGAAGAGTCAAACTACTTCAAGCCATTTTCTGATGCTAGCCACCTCTCGTCGACCAACCCTCTCATTAGCTTAGCTGCAAAACAACCTAAAAATGAATGTTATTTTTAATATGAATTTTAGATTTTTTTTTTTTTTTTTTTTGGGAACTAAAGTGCTTTGATATTGTTTTTGTGAGGGCTGCGGCGCTATTTTTGAGAGTATAGCGGTTCTAGAAAATACTGTTGCGGCGTTTGAGTCTCTGTTCTATAGTAATTATGGATTTAACATGCAGCGTTGCAATGCTGAGTTTGAGCGCTATAACGCTGGGCCACTGACTGTGTTTTATATATATTTTATTTTAAATATCACTGCCACGCTCCCTCACTCAGCGCTGCCTTGACCGGGAAGAATCGAAGGAAGGAGATAAAGGGGGGAAAAGAAAGAAGACAGGAAAGAGAAAGATGATCTTCGAGGCTTTTTCGTTCATTATTTTTGTTAGGAAAATTAGTCTGATTTTTGTAAATAAATATCATCTTGCTTTTGTTTTTTTTTTTGGATTTATGCAGATTTTATTTTTCTTAAATTCACAAAAAATAAATAATTTACTGATTTTGTAAGCTTCCACCATATAACTTTTGATATGTTATAAATTTGATTTTTCGAAAGATTGTGATTTTTATTTATTGTATTTTTATCAATTAAGATGTGTATAGAATTATTTTTATGAAAGGAGTTGGAAAAATGTATATCAAAAAATGAGTTGAAAGTGATATATTGTGATTTGATATGATTGATAGAACTAGGGGTGTAAGTGAGCTGAACGACCTTGTTAACAAGCTTGCAAGTCGAGCTTACTGAGCCACAAGTTCGAGCTCATGCCTATACTTGAGCTTTTATTTTAAACAAGTCTGAGCTAGAGCTCAAGCTTGGCTCTAGGGGTGTCAATTTTTGACACGACACGAAAACCCGACCCGGACCCGCCGGGTTGGACCCGGTTCGACCCGAACCCGACCCGTGACCCGAAATTGACACCCCTACTTGGCTCGGTAGAAAAGCTCGTTAAACCACTTGATTAAATTAAAATATATTTAATAATTAATTTAAATTAATATTATATAATATATTTTAATAACTTTAAATTGATTATATATTAAAATAATAAAATTTATAAGAAAATTGAATTTTTTAATTTAAAACTAAGAAATGGAGCTTGAGCTTTTTAAACAAACTCGAGCTATCGAGTCAAGCTCAAGGCTATGAATTTTTTAATGATTCGAGCTCGAGCTTAGTAAACGGGCTCGAGTCGAGCTCAGTAACAATTAAACAAACTTAGCTCGATTAGGAAGATACTCAATTCGACTCGTTTACACCCCTAGATAGAACTGATATGTATTGTAATGTGACACAAATCTAACTGAAATGATGAATTGGTTGATGTCATATATATGAAATGATAACTCCCACGTGATAACCACAAGATTCACTGATTCATTAATGGAAGTTCTAAGGAGATGAAGACTAATTAAGAGCCATAAGAAGTTAGGGTGACTAATTCATGTGATTCAATGAGAGTTATATGGATTACACTAAATTGGGAGTCATACGGGCGACTGATTGGGAGTCATAACTCATAAATATATGAGCAAAATAACCTCAAAATACCTTTATTTGAATATCTGATAGAATATTGATTACTGATTCTGATTATTGATTACTGATAACTTATACTGATTATTATATTTTGATATTGTATGGATACTAATACCAATATATTAATTTATATTATTGCTTATTATTACCGAATACAAATTAAAATATAGATGTTATTATAATTATATAATTGATAGAATAAAGATAATGATTGGATGAAATGATTAAGCGAAAGTAATTGAATGATAAATACAAGATGATTGACTGATACATGTGACCAGTAAATATAGCATATAAATATATTTATAGATTTTCTTATATGATTTATAGCATATTGTTTATCTTTTGCATTGCCTTAATTTTATATGTAAGATTTTAATTACTTGTTGGGTTATGTACTAATTATATAGTTTTACATGTTTATAGAAATGGGTTAGGATCTTGTGGCTTGAGGTACTATATGATATACATAGTTTTCTTTTTACACCCCTGGTTTAGTTTTCTTTCAGTTCATTTAGTTTATGTATATATTTTTTAGCATATGAAGGATATTGTATATATTATTTTGATCTCTGGATGTAGCATGTAGATTTTGATTATATTAATGTGAATTGTATTTTTCTGCTATTTATATTTTTGTAATGCAATTAATCAGCTTTGAATATCAAATTAATATGGCTGTACGTAGATGATTATTAGTTGTTATTGAGAAATAAGTAAGAAATAAATAAATGAAAAGATAGAAAAAAAATTCTTTCACTTTAAATCCCTAGATATGACAGTTATAATCCAAGAGCTCGACCTTGTGTTTTGATGATTACAAATATTATTATATGTTTATTTATTTATTATTGTGTTTATATATTTGATATGTTTCTTGTGTCACCAACTATTTCATGTATAACATATATGGAGCAGTATTAAAGAATAAAAACTCAAGACAATATAGGGACAACATATAATTCAGTTTGTATTTGAGAGAGTATGTACTTTTTATTTTTTAAGCCATTTTTTCTACTAGATTTATGTTATATTAGCAACTATGCATACACACAAAATGGGTAGCAAAATTGAATATTTAGATTTTTGTTAATCATACTATACGATCCAAATCATATTATTCAATCTATTTAAATGTAAATTAATTCAAATATTTAATTTAATGATATTAATTAATTATGGGCTATAATTAATCATAGATGATGATCAATTATTTTGAGAAATTCTATTGTCGAATCCTGATTATCTAAATTAGGCAAATATAAATTTTGAACTAATTGTACTGCATAAATATTAATTAAAATTACCTATTTTAATTATGATGATTAGGAAAATAAATCATGATTTAATTAATCATTTAATGATCGTATTGCACTATCTTGATTGTACTATACGATCAATAGAGAGCTCAAGCTGGATAAACTTGGTTCGTCCTGGGCGATCTGTGATTCGATATAACTAATCTTACTGGATGATATTCGATGGAATCAAACTAATCGTACTATTTTGAAAATTAGAATTTTTTAGAGCCTATTTTATAAACTTTTGTTATGTCTTTTCGGCTAAGAGTGCTTGGGTTGCCACACAAATTTTTCTATGGGAGAGCTTGGAGAGAGTCAACTTCACAAGGAAGAGAGAGGAGGTGAAGTTGAGAGAGGGAGAGTGCCTTGAGAGAGTTAAGAGATGTGAGAGGGGTCACACGATTGCTCTACTTGCCTGCATCTTGGGTCCTCTAGTTGTGCTTTGGTGGAGCTCTTCGAGAGGAGCTATGGGAAGAAAAGTCTTAGTGGCCAAAGACTTACTAGTCGAAGAGGCTAAGGATTCAACATTTTTGCGAGACTGGGAGGTGAAAGAAGGGAGCGACATCTTCATCAGAGCAATAAGCTAAATTAGGGATGACATCTTCATCAAGTCGAGGAGGTGGGAGGAAGGATTGGTATCTTTGCCGAGCAATGGAGGCGAAAGGAGGGATGACATATCCACCAAGCCGATGAGACAAGATGAGGGAGCTTCTTTTGAGCCTATAAATATTATTCTCCGCCTGTGGTAAGGGAGAAGGGCTTCTTCGCCTAACTGTGCTCTGAATAAGTCGTCTGAGTTAGTGCACAACCCAAAGAGGAGGACCATTAGGGAGTGAGGGGAGATCAATTCGACTGAACTACTTTAAACTTGGTTTGTGTGTTATTACTTTTATGTACTTTACTTTTCATGCAATTTACTTTAGAACACTGATTTTATTTTGATTATCTTTGTGTATTAGGACTTCTGTGAACGATATATATATATATATATATACTAAATTCTTAGAAAACGTATAATTTGTATACAATAGATACATTGGATAATCATGAAATCATAAATAGCCTTGCACATCTTAAATTTTAACGTTAAAATTACTATTAAATAACTTTACAAATAAAAATAAATTAAGTTATATTATTGTATTTTAGCTTAAATTTTATCTCTAAAATAATAAAATATTAATTATCTATCTATAACTAAGTAGAGTATTAAATACATTTATTTGTTATTTTTTATAATTTCATTCTAGAGATATATTATGATTGATAATGATAATAATTATTATTAATTAATACTGATGATTAATTTAAATAATGAAATATATTTACTATTTTATTAAGCTTATATGTAATATATCAATGTTATTGATTCAAGTTTGAGCAAGACACCTAAACTATAAACTGAATATTTCAAATTTTACTTAAACTAAATTCAAATCAAGCCAATATTGATTAAGTTGAGTTTCGAGATTATTTGAGTAAATCCTATTAATTTAATAAACTTGTAACCATCATTCACAAATCAATTAATTAAAAGAGGGATTATATATTCAACACACAAACTTATATATTTATAAGATATAGCACTATATAAATGTACGTGCGAACCCCTCGATAATGATGATGAATTATCGAAAGGGTTTATTACAGGATGATGAGGATATGAGAAAATGACATCAAAATCTCGCTACAAAGAGTATCAATGGAATTGACAGTTAGTGAGAGATGAAAAAATGAGATCGATGGTGTGTGAATGGATGAATTATTATGTGCAAAAACTAGACGGAGAGAACAGTCTGGTTTGTCTCTATGAACTGAGCTTTTACTATTCACAGAGATCAAACCAGACAATTCTTTCCATCCAGTGTCTGCACAGAATAATCTCTCGTGTGAAGGAGGACAAAGCTGAGAAAGCCATGAGGATTGTAGTTGGTGAAGAGGAGAATTGTGACCAGCAACATATGAAAAAGGATGAAGACTAGAAAGTCTTAAAGGACATGCTAGGGAAGAGAAAAATCATAATCGAAGGTGTGTGATATGAGAACTTGAAGATAAAAACAATAGAATGATGGTGTTTTAAAGATAATGGAGGGTATTATTTCTATCTTTTTCAAATATGTTGAGTTATATGTGTAAATAGAGTAATTTATATTAAATATGTAGATAATATCTTAAATAAAATTTATTTAAAAAGTGTAGAAATATTGCAAATATTTGTAAAAGAATTATTAAATAATTAATATAATTATTCATATTAATAATTAAATAGTTGATTCTTCAAATTTATTTATTTTTATTTAAAATAATAAAAATAATGTTTGCATCTAGCTAATTTTTGTGCGCTTGGCCTCGCGGTCTCTCTCGACGCTGATCGGAAGCAACTCTTCTTCTCCTCTCGGCTGCTTCCTAAGTCCTAACCCTAGGGACGTAGTCCCAAAATTGCAGCCTCTCCTGTCTCTCATCGGCTCGGCCTTCTTCTTTTTCTTTCCCTCTCAGCCTCTCTCGATCCCTGGCTATCTCCGCCTCCCGTTTCTTCTTATTTTCGCCATCCAGGACGCTCTCGCAGCATTCTCGTCCGGATCAATCCAATCTTTCGCAGTCTTGCCCGGTCTCTTCTCGTGTACAACTCCCGGTATGTATTCTTACTGATAGGATACATTCTAAGTGAACATTTCGAACTGTTCAACACTCCCAAAGATAGAAAGAGAAAGATAAAGGGGAGAAAGACTTATTCATTTCATCATGCCCTCATACACTCTAATTGATGTGTTAATAGCCTTACAAGGCTTACCTTTTGTTATTTGAATAACATTACGCCGACTTTTTATGGAATACCTTTTGTTATTTGAATAACTTGAGCTGCGGTTGGCTTATTTCTCCTTTGCTTTCTAATCCTTGTCAAGGAGTGTGTGCAAATTCTTAAAGTTTTCTCTCATAGTAATTTCCTCAACTATGTTGTGACTTGTGAACCTGTTAGCAATCCTCTATGTATTAGCCATGATCTCTGTGGGGCGAACGCGAACTTCTTCCCGAACGGCGAACGCGAACTTCTTCCCGAACGGCGAACGCGAACTTCTTCCCGAACGGCGAACGCGAACTTCTTCCCGAACGGCGAACGCGAACTTCTTCCCGAACGGCGAACGCGAACTTCTTCCCTAACGGCGAACGCGAACTTGCTTCTTCCAATCTTCCGCTGTTTTTTTTTTATTTCGGCGGGTTAGGTCAAAAGGGGGGGCAAAATAAAATTTTTTTCATGTTAAGTTACCTAATTACCCTCCTCTCTAATAATTTTTTTTTTTTAAGGGGGGGCAATTGCCCCCCCTAAACATCAAACAGTTCCGCCCCTGTTGGCGGCGGCAGGTGAAAGTATTCTTCTTCTTTAATAGCATTAATTGGTTATGTATATGATATTAAAGGAGCATAAGTAAGATATTTATTAGCTATTGGAGACTCATCTATAGCATAGTGTTGGTAAACGTATGGATTTTTATGCTCAATTCATTGTTGATTGTGTTGATTTGTTAGCTACTAGTAGTCACAATGAGTTCCATCTTTTGTTGGGTTGAAGTCACCTCTATGTTTCTTTGATCGATGCTAATTTTGTCGTGGTAGGTCTCTGTCGAATTACAAATGCTGAGTTTGTAATTTTTTGTATTTATTTTTTGTATTTATGTGACTATTGGTGAATTCCAACATTTCAATTAATGTCTTTAGTTGCTTCAATCCGAGTGCATATATATAAGGTCCTTCTCTTAGACCCTAAGTTGGTGCAACTAGGGCGATTAAAGGCTCTAAATATTTAATTACTTGCATCTCTTGTTGAAATCGAGCAAGAAAATTTATTATAGATTCACCTCACTCTTGCTTCATCTTCAACCATACTTAAGAATTTTTTAAACAGATTTTGAGCACTTGCAAATTGGTTGACAAATTATTTTATGAATTCGACAAAAGAAGCAATACTTTCTTACATGAAACTAGAGAACCATCTAAGTGGCGACTTCTTGGAGATCGTAAAAAGCAATCAACATCTTATAACATCATTGATATTCAACAATGAGGTGGTTGACTCAAAGTAGGCAATATGGTTGGCTGGATCTAGAGTTGTCAATAAGTAACCCATCACGATAAATTCCGATTCGGTTTGACCCGCAAACTCGATAATGATTCATTTATATGTTTATTTTCTTTAAATTATTTCACATGTAGAGCAATCCAATTTTGTTCTATTAACATAAACTCTATACTTAACAAGTTACTATTTTTGTTTAAATTAAAATGGGTTATTGGGTCTAGTTTGAGTCTTCCTGGTTACCAACGAGTCAGGTTCAGGTCCACCATTTTAACCCATCTTTTAAATGTGTCGAGTTCAGGTCGACTGGATTCAGATCGGGTCAATTTTGGGTTGAACCTATACCCGACATGTTAATTTGTTTAGACACCCCTAGTTGGATATATCTTTTCTTTGTATGAATCTAAATGTGAAAATTTGAACTTTGTTTGCTAGAGAATGCACTCATGAATTTTCAATAGCATTTCTCAATCCTTTGAGTTGGAGTGGTCTCAACATTACTCCTTGGGTAGTAGCCATCAGCTGTAGGAGTTGAAGTTGGTACTTGCCGACCTGATCGTTGTCATTGGATGGGCGGGTTTGAAGATCCATAATTGGGAAATTTTCATGGGACGAGCCTGGGAGGGCTCTCCAAGGTGCCTTAGAGGCTTAGATTATTCTTGTTGGCCTCTCTTCCATTTGGTTGAGTTGCTTGCTAGCGGCGAAGGCTTGATTTTTTTATCTCAACTGATCTCCCTTCGTCTTGATGTTTTCTATTTTGTATTTTCAATGCTTAGCTATTGGTCATTGGCATTAGTTCACACTTACCACATCTAAAAAGATGTTAGATCTCAATATGTTCGTGGACAACATCATGACTTTATTGAAATGAGAGAATAAAAGAGGGAGAGAGAATCTAAAGAGCTCAGAGATTTTTCTTTGCTAGGAAATAGTAGATTTAAGATAATGATTGCCTCGTCAGTTTGCCCTCATACCTCTTATTTATAGGTGGGGGTTGAGACTTAATTCTATAAGAAATGTTGCATTTAAAGTAAATTTGTAAATTGAATGCCATAGCCTAATAAAAACTTGCCAAACAAATTTTGCTTGTTCTTGCATTTTAATTACATTAAATAAGCTTTAATGATTTTCAAATAAGGAGTAGATTCATGTGTTGATGGCCGACATCATCTAGATCGGTGGAGTTCCAACGAATTGCTATGTCGAGTGGCTGGGACTAATTGGACTATTCGACTCTTGGGATCGAGTTTTAGACTAATCGACTCTTGGGATCGAGTTCCACGGGCTAGTAGTTTCACTTTGATGACCTTTCTTAGTAGGTTCTGGAGTTTCATGTACTCTAGTTGATAATGATGCTTAGCGACTGTGCCTATGCACCCTCGAACTGAGTTGAGATTAGTCAACTTGCTCCAATCTTTACTGAGCTGGGCTTACGTAAACCTTGTCTAGTTGATACATGGTTTTACAGTATTGATGCCTAATTCTTTTGATTATACGTCTAACTTATGATAAAATGGTTAATTTTAGCAAATTACCATTATAATGATATTTTTACAGTATTGAAGAACATAATGATATTCAGACCAAATTACCATTATAATGATTTTTTGTTTATAAGCACTTTCATAACCGAATCCATCTTCTCTGAGAAAATATTTATTGTTTTCGTTTTGTTATTCACAGTGTTATTTGCTCTTGTATGATAATTATTGATAAGGTCATGGAGCTTGAGGAAGTTGCTGATAGTGAACAATTATTTGGACGAGGCTCTCCTCTTGGGCCAATAGATCCAAGGAAAGCCAGGTTCCCCTGCTGCATAGTGTGGACGCCCCTACCCTTGATCTCATGGCTTGTGCCTTTCATTGGCCATATTGGCATCTGCAGAGAGGATGGTGTGATCCTAGATTTTGCAGGGCCTCATTTCGTGAGTGTTGATCATTTCAATTTTGGATCAGTGACGAGATACATTCAATTAAGCAGGGAAGAGGTAAGCATCTGCACCTACTTTATATGAATTAATTTTGCTAGATCAAAACTTATGTGTTCATTTATCATCAAAATCAAATGGATTCCAAATACATGGAGTTGGCTTTATGAATCTTCCTCCTGTCATTTGTCCTTAGAGCATCTCCAATGGAACGACAAACAATTGTTTGTCGTTCTTCTGCTGCTCCAACCGAGCGGCAATTTTGCCGTTATTTCATCACGGGTGAATTCGCACTGTTTATCTGCTAAATTTTTATGTGTCAATGAGATTTTCCTGCAAAACGGAGAGAAATGGTTACGAGACAACAAAGCCCGCGAAATGGAGTTCGATTGGAGCATAATTACGGCATTTTAGAGTTTTGCTGCATTTTGTAGTGTAAAATGGGGTTTTCAGTTGGAGATGCCCTTAGTGATGTGTAGTTTAACATTATTTTGTTCAAGTGTTTTTTTTTTTTTTTTTTTTAGTGTAAAATGGGGTTTTCAGTTGGAGATGCCCTTAGTGATGTGTAGTTTAACATTATTTTTTTTTTTTTTTTTTTTTAATTTCTTCTGAGTCTAACCATCATTTTTGTTCTCCGTATTAGTCCATCTTTAATAGGATCCCCTATTATCCCACTAATATGGTCAGTCCTCTTTCAATTTTTTTGGCTTTATCCAACATTAATCTTAACATTCTCATTTTTTCTCACTATTTGATTGTCAACCATATTATTATTATTATTTTAAAATAGTTCCAAGATTAGTTAAGCATAACGCATCAGTTATCATTTGATCTTTCAATAATACTAATGCGCACATTTTTCTTAGTAATCCCAATGAAAAATATATGATGATTCTTTTATTAATCCATAAATTTAAATAAAAATTCCCTTCTCATAACTCTTAACAAAAACTCAAAATAATATTATTACTATTTTCATCTTTAATGAGGATTTGTTATTATAAATCCCAAAATATCTAAGTTGATTTTACATACATACCACTTTATTTCATGCTATTTACATATCTAACATCCAGAACATTAATATTACATACCCACCACCCATAGAACAAATTTGGGTGCTTGGAATGAAATATTAAAGTTTATAGGATGATATTAATGGTAAAAATGAATTATAGGAGTGATATATTTGATATTAAAGTTGTATATGAGTGGTAGGCATGCAATATTAATGTTTTGGGTGTTAGATATGTAAATAACATGAAATAAAGTGGTATGTATGTAAATTTCCCCTTAAAAATACAAATTTCATCCCTTACGCAGCTCATCTTAGTCTGTCGGTTGAGAGCTTTGACTATCAAACAAGAGGTTTTGGATTCTAGTCTTGCGTATATGATGATGTGTGTATCGGTTTGTCTTAACTGACCTAAATGTAAAAAAAAAAAAAAATCACCCCTACCTTTCTCATCTTGCAGGGTTCCCTCTCCACCAATTTGGCGGATTCGCCGAAAAATGAAGCTTTAGAAAGCAATGAGAAAATGACATGGGATGACGCGCTGAGGAAAAGCACACAGGATTTCCAGCACAGATCGTACAGCCTATTCACCTGCAACTGCCATTGCTTTGTCGCAAACTGTCTGAATAGAATGTCTTATGGTTGTAGCAGACATAGAAGGTGGAATGTGGTGAACTTGGCAGTTCTGATGTTCTTTAGGGGAACTTGGGTTGATAAATTAGCTGTGCTGAAGTCTTTCTTGCCTTTTGCAACTGTGCTTTGTCTGGGGCTTCTATTAGGTGGCACGAATTTCTTCGTATTTCTTGGTGGTTTTGCACTTGCACTTGTAGGCTGGTTCCTTGTTGGAACATACTGTTTCAAGAGTCTTGTACTGTTGTAATTGTTGATTTTCATATTGGATGATACTGTGATGAGATTTGAATTGTAGAATAAATTATGATTTATGTAAAATGTATGAAGAATGGATGTGATTAAGGTTTCATTTAGGATTTTTTTTATTGCACTTGTAGGCTGGTTCCTTGTTGGAACATACTGTTTCAAGAGTCTTGTACTGTTGTAATTGTTGATTTTCAAATAGGATGATACTGTGATGAGATTTGAATTGTGGAATAAATTATGATTTATGTAAAAATGTATGAAGAATGGATGTGATTAAGGTTTTATTTAGGATTTTTCTTTTGTTTTTTAGGTTTCGTTTGGGACAGTATTTTTACTGCTTCTTAAGCGGTTTTTTAATACAAAAATTGTAATAAAAAAGCTGTCCCAAATTAAGCCTTAGATTAGCTTTCTAACATAATTTTTTTGAATTTAAATTTTTTGTACTAGAAAGCTGTTTTAGAAAGCAGTAAGAAAGTTGTCACAAATGAAATTTAAAGAGAATATAAATTAGTTTCTTTTTTTTTTAGATTTTCAAGATGAGCCTTTAAATATATATTAGAAATATTAAATTTATATAAATTTAGAAGTAATTATTATAATTATATCCATTAAATTGATGCTTGAGACAAACAGGCTAAAAATTATTAAAAAAAAAAAAATCAGTGCTTGAGTTAAATTCATTTGACATATTCTCAAGTAATTTTTATATCTCAAGGCTCAAATATGTTGGCCGGAAATATTAAGAATTAATTTTGAGATTATTGGAAGT